TTTCACTGTCCACATTTCTTACATTTTTTCCGGCTGTGACATTTTCTTCTAATGTGTAAATGTGGTACATATATGTTACCGATAACTGACACTGGCTTATGGAATCGCAGAATGTCAAGTATGTAAATGTAGCATTCTTTGAGCATAGTGGAATCAGGCTATTAGTTGTAAGAACCGATAATCAAGAGGGGAAAAGTGCGATCTCGAAGTATCGATGTAAAGGCTAGTTTAAAAAACCAACTATGCTATGTGAAATAAAGAAACCAATTTAAAGATCTGATATCTGTAAATTCGAATCCAGGGCCAAGTGGGATCTATTTTCTTAGCTGGAAGCCAGCTCTATTTGAAAAATCTTCAAAAAATAACTTTTTTTCCCGCCTATCTTATTGATTAACAATCAACTCCCAGGCTAAATTGTAAGATTGGAGTACTAGATACTACTTATACTAATTTTCAAACTTAATCCTAATCAATCTTTCGCCTTTTGGCAAACCTTGTTTTGTCCCTAGTATATACTGAGTTTAATGTGTTGAACAAATTAAATTGTTAACTAGTCCTTTTGAATTAAAGTTTTAATTTTGCTTTAAGTATTTAATGCTCTGAAGTACTTAATTTTATACAATTATTATTATTTTATTTAAATATCTAGCCAGCCATAGAATTTAGAATGGGGCTATCCTCCGTACTCTTCCAGTGGCATTATCCCATTTCTAGTCAATAATCTCAGCTGCCGACTGGGCTTCCTTCTTAGCGCCTTCTTATCCCGTTCTTAGCCCCAAATCTGTGCTGGGAGACGCATCGATGCTCAACAAGTCAGCCTTTCGAAAAAACAGCCTAGACTCCCGCACACACAAGCACGATTAAATAATTAATGTGTTAATTTATCGCTTAGCAAATTGTGTGGTCAATTCACTAACAAAATCACGCATAGACCCAACACTTGGCCCAACAACTCGGCCCGCCCCTCCCCCTCCCCAGCCAAAATCGAAGTCAAGTGTGGACAGGCGAAGAGAATTTCGAAAGGCAATCACGATGGCCGGGGACAAGGAAGCACAGAAAGTGCCTCACGTGTTGAGGGAAATCATACAAATGGCAACGAGAAACGAACAATACTGCTCTACTCGGGAGTGATCGATTGGCAGATACCCTATGCCTCGCTAAATAGATAAAATCGATGTTTATCGATATTATTAACATGTGACCAGCTATCGATAAGAAAAGAGGTAAACTAAAGAGGAGAATATGTATCTCAAACTTTAAGTATCTTCGTTTTTAGTTTCCCAGAAGGAAGTGTTGTATATCTGGGCAGACTGACGTGCGTGAATATATATACTTTATGGAGTCGGAGAAACTATCTTCTAAACTCGATATTTATCGATATCAGAACATGTGTTCGGCTATCGGAGAGAGAAAAATTGTAAACTTGTTCAGCTGGACGGAGTAGGAGAATATATATCTGAAATTTCAAGTATCTTCCTTTTTTTAGTTTCCCAAAAAGACTTGCTGTACAGTTGCACCTGACTATATATACTTTATGGAGTCAGAGATACTTTCTGCTGTCCGTTATATAAGTTTGCACAAAGAGATTACACCCTCTATACCCATGGGCATATAAATACACACACCCTCTCTCTCTCTCTCTCTCTCTCTTTCTCTCTCTCTCTCTCTCTCTCTCTCTCTGTCTCGCTTTTTGCGACTGAGTCGACTCGTGGGCATTTGAAAGACATTCGCATAAAGCTAAAACTGTCACCAATAATAGCGAACCGCTGGCCGCACATAAAGTTCCCGCCACGATGGACAGCGACAGCCATAATCAGTATTGGCAATTGAAGTGACATTTGCGCGCCCCCCTCACCCCTCTTACTGATTGCCCGACTAGCATTTGTATATGAGCCAAATAAAAATGCATATCAAATGAAGCTGCAGTCAGGGGCGTGGCTGGGGGCAGGGCAGAACAGTCGCCATTTGGAGGCACTTGCGCAGAACTTGGCTGCTGAATATTCCATGAAGTTGCCAATAAAGTCAAGTGGCAAGTCCTGCGGCAAGACTTGAGGCAGTTGCTCCTGCTGCTGCTCCTGCTGCTGCCGCTGTTGACTGCAGCCAGCTGCTGCATACTAATTTTGCCTGCTGCCTCTTCCCCCACCACCGCCCCCCTGCTGCTGCATTGTGGTGGCATCTTGGCCTCATTTTGTATTCATATCAAGCACCAGTTCCCCATTGTTGTTGTTGTTGTTGCTGTGCCTGCTATTAACTGAAATAAAAGTAAAAATGCAATAAAAATGCGGCCCGCCTCGCATTTTGCATTAAAATTGCATTGCAATTGCCCAAGTCGAGACCATTTTCCGTTGTTGCTGCTGTTTTATTATGGCAATTGTTGCCAGTTGTTGTTGTTGTAGCTGCTGCTGTTCAAATGAAATCCAATTAGTTGGCTACAAGGCCTACGAACAACGTTCGTCGATGGCGAGATGCGTCGTGACTGGCAAAGTCCTTTTGTGTCTGAATGTGTGTTCCTATGAACTTGTATGTAGATGCGTGCACTGAGAGAAAAATAAATGACATAATTGTTGCCCTTGTTATTTAGTGCGGTTCGCGTGTTGGTTAAGATAGCTGGGAAACAAAAGATATTGCTATAAAAGTCCTTTCGAGCAGTGCCTTCTCATCTCGACCAAGCGAATAAATAATAAAGAATGTACAGTAACAAGTACGTAATTTATATGATATAATAGCCCCATTCTATTAATATTTAGCTCATACTTTGGCAACATTTGTTGAAAAGCAAAAAGAAAGTTCTTCTTATATGATATCATCTATTTCCGATAGCTTGTAGGAGCATATATGGCATATTTCAGATCAGTCCAGCAGCAGGAGTAAGTCTCCAATCAATTTAATGAAATGAGTGAAGAAATGAATTCATTTTGCAACACTTTTTCTTCAATTAGTCACAATATAGATGTATACATTGTTCTTATTGTATGTATATATGTATATATATTTATTTTTTTTTAATATTTATATATATATATATTTTTTTCTAATAATCAGATTCTAGTCTTTAGGGATCGGTTAATAAGAAAATGCAACCAGAACTAATTATAGTTCAACTTGATTGTAATACGCTTTTCGAGTTTCTGGTATTTTATTGCTTCAAAGAAATATTTTAAAAAGTTATTTTTAAATATGATCGATTACCATTGTTTAAGTATACAATCCACTAGAAATATATAGAGCAGTTGGTTTATTTTGATTTTGCGTTGACACTTGTTTCGCTCAGTGTAGACTGAGAGTCTGTGTGTTTGGCTCACGCGCCGAATTGAATATGCAGTAATTGTCCGTTTCATTGTTGGCCATGATTTTGCTTGGCTGGTACCAAAAAGCGTTGCGCTTAAGTGCAAAATTGAATTTTTGTGATTAATTTTTTGGGTTGCCTAACACGAGGAATTCCTAGCATGGACTTGAAGCAATCCAGAGGAAAATGACAGACTCCCTCTCTCCCTGTCTCCTTTCTAATGCGATGTGTCTACCTGGCACATGCCAACATTTTGGTAGCAGCTTCTTGGCTATCCTATTCCCATTCGAACTACTATTTCAATGGCCACAATCATTCCTGGCGCATTCCTTCTCCTGTTGGGCCCGTGCCCAAGGCCAAGACTCGCCAATAAAACTGTCAATTAACCTTTAAGCGAACTTGGAAAGATGCCAGCGAAACGCTGAAAATGAAGCTGAACAAAATAATTTCCATTTGCATAGACAGCAGGTGGGTTGGAGCGGGAACTGGGAGGTGGGACATATCTTATCGCTGGCTGCCAGAATGCCGCGCCAGATACCAGCTGGAAGCAGCAACTAATAGAGATCTCACTGCGGCTGTCAATGGCTTAGGCCTGGACAGGCATTAGGAAAAGCCGCAGTGGAAAGTGGACCACAGGCTAAGACGCTTCCTGCCCACCCCTCGCTTTGTGCACTCGCAACTGACAAAACGCTGCTATTTCCAATTGTGCTATTAATCTGCCACATTTGCACTTCTCCAGGCCAGGCCAGGCTCTGCTCCGCCTCGTCTCGGTCCGGCGGGAACGAGATGGCGGAACGCTTCGCTAAACCGAAAATAGAAACAATCAAAATGAAAATATACATTCTCTTCATACACTCGTCTGTGCGTAATAAAAACCCCAAAAGCAAAACGTTTTCCATTTAAAATGTCGTCGCAAATGCATAGCCCCCCCAACCCCCTCTTCCAGCAGATGATTTCGCGCCGCTAACTGTAACTGCTTGGGCGCAGCTGCAGCCAATGGCAGGCCGGCAGAGTTACGCCCACTGCGCCAATTGTTGGCCAGTGCTGCCAAGCGGCGCGCAGACCGAAACCAGTTTCTGCGTCGAGCCGCAGCGAGCGCGTCGGCTGTGCGAGCGAGACAGCGCTACGCCCCGGGGCGTGACCAACCAACAGCAACCACCACGACGACGTCGACGACGGCGGGTGGGCGGTTGGGCATGGCCAACGTTTATTATGGTAGGTTAGGTTCAAACAAGGTGGCAAACAGGCTCGTTAAAGTTAACCAAATAGGAAGCGAGCAGCGCTGCCGACGTCAAGGGAACTGGTTTGACGGGCTGGCTCCTGCGGCAGCGACTGAGGCAGCGACCGAGGCAGCGACCGAGGCAGCGACTGCCGTCAGTCGGCATATTTTTGGCTGCATTTATGAAAAGCGTTTACGCCCGCCAACACGCAGCACGCGCCCGCTTCCCAGCACGGAATTTCGCAGAGCTCAGGATCTGAGCGTCAGTTCAATTTGTCGAGCGCCGTTTAACGAAAGCGCGTCGCGTTCCACGAATCGAAAAGAAAAAATGTGCAGTGTGTGCGGCAAAGGAATATTTATTTATTAAAAAGTTCTTAAAATAAACATATTTGGAATATTTGTAATATATCGAAAAAAAAAAGTTCAAATAGTTCAAATAAAAAGTTAGTGCTCGCAATTTTCAAAGTGTTCAAATTGGCGCCACTTGCTCTCAACATGTCCAGTCACGAGGAGGATGAACACGAGCACGAGCACGGGCACGACGGGCACGATGGGCATGACGGACACGGCGACGATGTCGAGGAGCAGGAGATTCATGTCGATGTCGATTCCGATTCGCGCATGTCCTGCGGCAGCGGCTCAGATGTGGATATGGACAACGGCAGCTGCTACGATGAATCCGAAACTCCGCTCAGGTAACAGATAACAATCCGCAAAACCAATCAAAAGTTGCTCAACTATATCAAAAGGCCGTAGGGTATTGAAAGCAGAGTTTTATTGTGCCTCGAAAGAGGCTCTTTGTAGTTACACTCTGTAATATGAGAGGAAGAGAGTATATTGCTTCGCCAGCTCATGCTTTCATTTGATAAAAACTTTATCAACATGATCTTCAAATTCTAGAGTCAACAAATTTGACAGGTAGATTGCTAATTATCTCTCTTAAGGTACGATATATAAAAGATATGTATATCCAAAGTTTACTAAAGTCTATATATCCTACTAGTCACAGTTTGAAAGCCATTGCCCAGGGCTGACCCTATGGAGTTTTTTTTTATTAATTGTTTATTTATTTATTAGCCAATGCTGGTAGCTTTCAGGTTACCTTAACTTAAGAAATATTATCTTAAATAACTAACTAACTTAACAGAAAGGAGCTTAGTTCAACTATTTACATTATTTTAGGAGGAGGCCAGGTCTATAAGGTAGTTCTTTTTAAGCCTCCTTTTTCTTGGGCTTCTGCTGCCAACTTTCTTGCCAGGCTAACTCTATGCATTTTGAGCTGTTTTTGCAACGTGAACAGAGTATTGGGCAGTTAGTTTTACCTGTTTTAAGCGCTTGACAACTTTTAAGTCGCCTTATTCAAATTTGCTTTCGCATTGTCTGGCCACACAAAGCCCATTTGAATAGCTAACAAGTCCAATAAATGCTTTCATTCACATTCGACGCACCAATTTGGGGCTTGGCGTGAACAAACCGCTTAAACGCTAATAAATTGCCGCACAAGAAACTTCCTGAATTAACCGAGCGACAGGTAATGGCACAGGTGGGCACTGGCCCATAGGGTATTGGGAGTCTGCGAACTGGGAAGAGTCGACGACTCGATGATAAAAGGCACATTAGCAAGGCGCCAAAAGCGCGCGCTGATAACAATTCCCAAATGGGCTCCAAACGAGTTCAACGAGAGAGAGAGAGACAACGCCCCAGCATATTGGATTAACATTTTAATATAGAATGCGCCATAAAAAGCCTATAAAAAGCAAGTAAGAAACTGAAAGGTACACTAAAGAAAAGAAGAAGAAACTCACAGACAATACATACGTAAGAGACTGGAAGACACCCTAAATAAAGAAGAAAAGATCCTAATTAAAAAACTAAGTAAGAGACTGGAAGATACCCTAAATAAAGAAAAAAAAAACCCATAAAAAAATTAATAAGACTGGAAGATACCCTAAATAAAAAAGAAAACCCTAAATCTAAAAAGTTAAATATTCTTAGAATCGATTCACCAGGCGAGAACTATTTTAATCTTCAAGCTATGCTTTAGTAATAACGTCTTAGAATCGATATTTATCGATATAGAACCGATAAATATTGTAATACGGAAAATTGGTTGATATAGACGGACCTGGTTGGATGGGTTTAGTTCATCATTAGTTCAAGATACCCTATAAAAAGTAGTAAAATATTCTTAAGCTCGATTTACAAGGCGAGAGTTATTTTAAACTCCAAGCTATGCTAACGAAACCAAGCTCAGAATCGATACTTATCGATATTTGGGAACTGATAAACTGATCTTCGGCATGACTATTGCTTAAAGCCATTATACCCTCTTCAGACATTTTTAAAGGGTATGCCAGCGCTCAAGGGAATGCATAGAAACAACCAAGCAGATCGTCGAATATTTATTTGATTGTCTTATTTGTGTGTGGTTTTCTGAACAGTGTAGACTCGGTCGCATTTAAATCACTTTCCATTTGTTGTTGCTGATGAATTAAATGAGGATCGTGACTCGCCACGGACTGTGCGATGATTTATAGAACCGAAATCAAATGCCATTTGCATAATTACTTCATTTGCCAAGAGTCAAGCGAAATGTTACGCATACGCCGCGTTTAACGATGCCAGCAAAAAAACATGAAACATGATTTCTGCGTGTTACGGGCCAATACTTTGGTGCGTGTTATCTCTGAGGCTGGCAGCAGCAGCAGCAAATGGCAGACAAATGACAAATACACTCAGAGAAAAGCGCAGTTAATAAATATAAATATGATTCGAATTGAATTAAGAATGATTTTTGACTAAAGTATCTCCAAAATATTCTTAAAATACGCATAAATCAGACTCCTTTCAGCATTCGAATTGCAAAGGTTAAAAATAAGTTAAATATAAAATACTTCTTACAAGAATTTGCATACTTCAAAAAAGTTTAAGAATTTCGAAATAAAAATGTAAATTTATTTATTTATAATTTTAGTTATTTGTGACGTCTTTAAAGTTCTTATTTTCTGCTGCTGCTGCATTTGTCTTGTATTTTATGAATTCGACTCAACTTTCGACTTTAACTCTCAGTGTACGGCATATGCGTGCCTTTGTGCTCGCTCTTTTTCGCTCAGTGTACGGCACATGTGAGCGTGGGCAACTGGTCTGGGAAATGTTTAGTTTGCAACATTTATTAATAATTGGTTCTGCCGCTTATCATCGGGCGACACTCTCAATATTAATGAGACAACAACAACAACAATTTTTTGTAACTCTTGTTTTTTTTTTCCTTTTCTACATTTCCAGCGAATCGCTGCAATCGGAGCAGACGCGCTCCTCGTCCAGCGAGAATCTGCCCTTCAGCATATCGCGGCTGCTCTCCAAGCCCTTCGAGACCAACAACAACAACAACAACAGCAACAGCCACAGCAGCAGCAACAACCACAACAACAACAACAACAGCTCGGAGAAGGAGCTGCAGGAGCAGGAACAGGATCTGGCCGCATATAAGCTGGCCACCAGCATTGCCAATTCGACCTATGGAAGCGCCGCGGCGCTTTACAGCTATCCGCATCTGTATCCGTCGGCGGCGGCAGCGGCCGCTGGCCATGTGCTGCGTGTGCCGCCGCAGCGGACGCCGCTCACCTGGGCGCTGCCCCCACTGCATCATGCGGCGCTGGCCCATCAGGCGGTCAAGGATAGGCTGGCAGGTGAGCAAATGGACGGTAGCCCCAAACAAGCAGCTACTGTTTAACTGCGCACATGTGTGTGCGCATGTGTGTGTGTGTGTGCAAGTGTGTGTGTACGAGTCCAGCTTGGAGTCTGAGCCCTGGCTAATAAGCACGATCAGAGAAGTCTTTTAAGCCAACATGCCTGTCGGCATGTCATTCGTGCTCAGCTAGTGCCACACACACACACACTCGCACACACACACACACACACACTCGCGCACACACACACACACACACGCACTCCCCGTAAAGTATAAAAACATGTTTGCCTTCAAATGCACAATCGCAGCTTAAGTTAAAAAACCAAAACAGAAATCTTCGCCGCCCAGAAGCAAAAGCCAACGCGTTGTCCCCGCATTTGCATACGACTCTGGCTACCCCTACTGCTCCCCCTCCTCCTCCCGCTACGAATTCTCGTCTCGATCCTGGGTCTCTTCCTTAATTTGTTTACATTATGAGCTTCAGTTGTAGCTACAGGCAGCGCGAGCCGCTTAAATAATGAGAACGCGTTGATTTTATTACCCGTCCTCAGGCCCTTTATCACCTGTCATCCCCCTCCCCCTATGGACCCCTTCGGCTGTCAGTTGCATGTAACTCATATTTGCCCCACACACTAAAGCTGCTTAGCTGGCCGATCGCTTTGTCCGATTGCGAAACGGACTTTGCTTTTTATGCTCCACACATCCGCTCCGTTTCTTCTACTTCTTCTTCTTGATTTTATAAATTTTCTTTTATTTTTGTTTTTTAGTTATTTTAATGAGGCTGGTTTACATGACTTTTTAATTTCGCGCTGTGCACCCGAAAAGGAATTAATTACACATTGGGCGGTCGTCTAGTGAGTAGCTGCGGACTTGGCTTATTTATCGCCAGCATACCACACTTCAATGCGAAGCGCATCTCAACTGACATGGGCAGCATTTAATTAGGCTGAGCTCACAAAGAGAGCGAGAGAGCGCGCTGTAGCCTAACTTGGCCACACTTATGAGCCGCTGACCAGTTTCGTTTTGTCAACATCTTCGTCAGCCGCTGTCTGTTCTGAGTGTGAATGAGAGAGTATGTGTGTGCGTGTGTGTGTGTGAGTGAGTAAGCATGTGTGCGTGTGTGTGTGTGCATTGTGTCGCTTCGGCCTGCTGATAAGCTGGCGCCTTGGCTTTTTTCATTAACAAGACAAACGAGCTGCCGTAACAGCCTAACCCTTGCCATGATCCCCGCTCTCCCCGCTGCCCCCCCCCCCCCCCCCCCCCCCTCTCCCAATGCCCTCTCGCTCTCTCATATGATTAATAACCTTTGCATGTTAATTGGAATGCCGTTGGCTTTACGCTGACAGGCAGCGCAGCAGGCGCCAATTATTTTGGCAGCCCTTTTGCTGCAATTGCCAAATAGCCAAATATTTAAGTACACTCAACAAAAAAAATGTGTTCTCAGTTTCAGAAAATATTTTTAACACATTTTATAATTTGAATTCAATTTCTTAAGGGGTTTTAGTTTTACTTTTCGACATTTTTCATTAATTCAAATATCCAAATTAAAATTTTTTTTTTTTTCAATTTTCCTAGTTCTATGTTTGGCATAAAATTTGTTGAGTGTAACTTAATGCATGTTCCACACATTTTATAATTTGAATTAATTCATTTTTAAAGGGTTTTAGTTTTTCTTGTACCAAACACTTTCCATTTATTTAATTTAGTTGAGTGTAACTTTCGGCTAAATCGCATGCGACTTTAGCAAAAGGTCAAAGTGTAAATGCTTGAGTGTAGATACAAGTACTTGGCGCATATTGCGCATACACCATGTAGGTCGTTCTCGACGTTGGCCAGAAACAGCTTCAGCTCCAGCTTCAGCTAAGTCTCAGTCTCAGCCTCAGTCTCGGCCACAGGCGCCATCAATAATGCATGCTAAAAGCTTTTAGCATTATTTTACGTATTTCGGGAAGGCAGCAGCAGCAGCAGAAGCCGCAGCCCACAGACAGGTTGTGAGTATCTTTAAGATACGCCAAGAACTGAGCCAAAACATCATAAATAAGAGCAAGGCGTGCCAGCATTTGAAGGGCGTGGCACGCTGGAGGAGGGGAGGGGGGGGGGCGTTGGGTACGTGCTGGTAGGCCATAAAATTATGCTTACGCGAATATATATATGGCTGGAATCCTTTGAAGGAATCCACCATGAGCGCCTGCTTATGTGGTGCGATAAATGGCTTTTTATTGAAATTGATATTGCTTGAAATATTCAAATGGTTCAAATCCCCAAACGGCCAAATTTATGCCACACAGAGTGCAAGAGAGGGAGACACTTCTTGCCTAAAAAGGGTTCCTGGGAAAAGTCGCAATAAAAAACATGATTTGTCAGTTTAACACCCGCCATATACATTCGAGCATTGAGCATTTTTCCGCTCCCATTTCGGATTGATGGAAATTTCAGCCATTTTGTTGGCGTTTTATTGGCGCAAGGATGAAAGTTGCTTAAATCGACTTTAGTTTGTGTGTACCATAAAAAAATAAGGCAAGTTCTATAATGTGAATAGAAGTAACAAGTTTTATTTAGGATTTGCTATTAGAAAATTAAGAATTTTGGTTGGCCAACTTTTTACATAGTAAATGGTCACTTTTGGGCTTAAAAAAAAATAGACCAATTTATTTTTCAATAAGGTAATTTTTTGAAGCGAAAATATCTCTATCAGGTAGAATTGGGAGAATAAATATAAAATGTCAAAAAAAAAACAAGAGGTTTTAGTCGGGAGCTCCCGAACCCTCTTCTTCCAACATCAAATGCATATATATATTCTATTTTATGTTAACAATAAATTTGTTTAAATTTTTTGAAGATATTAAAATGAGCTTGACATACAAATTAAATTTCTGATCTTCTGGATTATGCATGGACATAGACTAACATTTTATTTGTATTCGTTTTTTATACCCTGAACCCATTAAAAATGGGTATAAGGGTATATTGTATTTGTGTAAAATCCAAATGTATGTAACAGGCAGAAGGAAGCATCTCCGACCCCATAAAGTATATATATTCTTGATCAGCACCAATAGCCGAGTCGATCTAGCCATGTCCGTCTGTCTGTCCGTCCGTCTGTCCGTCTGTCCGTATGTATGAACGCAAGGATCTCAGAACCTATAAGAGTTAGAGACTTGAAATTTTAGATGTAGGTGCTGCTAGTGCCTGAGCAGATCGAGTTTGTTTCCGATAATCGATAACTTACTCCGTTTCCCAGCAATCGATAAAAATCGATATCGATATCCTGTTTTTTGGGCAATTTTGGTAAATAATAAGAGCTAGAGTCACCAAACTTGACATATAGCTTCTAAAATAGAATATATATATGCATTTGATGTTGGAAGAAGAGCGTTCACGGTGTCCCCTAGTCGGGAGCTCCCGACTAGAACCACTTACTTGTTTTATGCTGGAACTGCTCGTGGAAATGCTCACATATTCAGCTAGACGTGTTCCATTCCATTTTCCAGCTCGGAAAATGCAAAGTTCTAGTCAGCTTCGAGTTCATGTTTAGCAAGCAATTGCCGTGACCTGTCGCATGTGACCCCAGAGAGACGTTGATCAAGCCGGTTTCCCAGTTGTCACCAGGAGGCGGACGGCAACGACATCGTTTTAATATTTGTTGTTGTTGGCCGCGGCTTATCGCAGCAAATAAACAACAACACGCAACAACAACAGAAGAGTCAGGTCTGGCTGGAATTTTAAAAGGTTCAGCGCCAGAGTCGCACAGTCCCTGCCCCTGCAACCATTAGGCGGCAGACTGAGCCGCAGTACCGTCCAGTCCAGACACTGGGTCACATAGGCATCCTAGGAAGCCGCGAGTTTATGACTCAACCCGAGGCGAGCCGGCTTTTGGCTTTGAATGAAATTGATGTCGCGTGCGTTGTCTGCAAAGACTCTATGATAAAGGTTAAAGATCGCCCTAAGACTTGGGCAATTAGTCGGTGACTCTCAGGTTCTAAATTGATTTCACAGCGGGCCGCGAGGTGCGACGACCAGGTAGCAGGCGGTTCGCTAAGTAGCCGCACAGGTGCCGGAAGCAAATATCGGAAATGGCTTGTTATCCGGCGGCCAGGTCTACGCCGTTTATTGTTAGCTAATTGCTCAGCCAGGACACACAGCGGGAGCATATTTAACTGCAATTATCAATATATTCCATTTAACCATTTAACTATTTTCTTTTCTATTTGCACAGCTGCCTTTCCCATCGCCCGGCGCATTGGACATCCCTACCAGAATCGCACGCCTCCGAAGCGAAAAAAGCCGCGCACCTCGTTCACACGCATCCAGGTGGCGGAGCTGGAGAAGCGTTTCCACAAGCAAAAATATCTGGCCTCCGCGGAGCGTGCGGCGCTGGCTCGCGGCCTCAAGATGACCGATGCCCAGGTGAAGACGTGGTTCCAGAATCGACGCACCAAATGGAGGTGAGCACAACAAAAATCAATATGCAAAATGTGCTGACAACTGACAGCCGACACCTGTACCCGCCCCCTTCCTTCTGCTGCAGCGTTTTAAACTACAAAATGCACAAAAGGCTTTTGTCTACAAAAAGAGAAAAAGAAAAAAGAATCGAGCTCGTGGGGTAAAAGGTTTTTCCATTATGCATGAGCACATTAAATGAAAAAGCGCCCCCGCTTTCCGTTTAGGGGTTGGCCATCCATTGGGGTTGGATTCTCCTGGTTGCCGGCCAAGTCCTTTGCAACGTTTAGCCATAATGAGCTAAAGGCTTTCACTAACCAGACGCTAATCACAACACCAAAATGGCTGCTATGAAAATATATTGTAATTAACTAAATAGTATAGAAAGAATGTTTTAACAATTATTTGCAGTTTGTCTGAGATTATGTAAACCCATTGGCATACGTTTCTACTTTCCCCTGCCCCTTACTTTCTTACGCAAATACATTCTCAGTTAACTCTTTGCTCTTTGTTGTCCAAGTTTTATAATATTTCCAGGGCTTGAATATGCTACACACAAGTAACAAATGGGCTCAGAGTAGCTCGAATAAATTGAACAAATATTTAAATAATTACGAAAATCCAACACATTTATTGAATTCTTTGCACCTAAATAACTGAGAGGTAACATTTAAATGTTTATACATGTTGCTCATGTAAATAATTTACTTAACATATATACTTAAACCATCTGTTGGTTTATCATTTTGATTTATGGCCCATTTCCGAGTAGCCTAACACAGAACATTTGCCATGCAAACGAGTACTTTCAACTCGCTGCCTTATCAAGCGAATACTCACTCGCCCCTACTTGAATACATATGAGTAGAAACGCATACACTCGAAGAAAAATGTGTTGGAATTTGTATCTTTTATACTCGCTAGCGACAGTTAACATTCCTTAAGCTGAGAACAAAGTTTTTTGTTGTATTTTCAATGAACATGTCTTGCACTTATTCTAAAATATATATATACATTGTATAAGGTTGAATTTATTTTACAAGCATTTTCTTCTAATGAAAGACTACAAATTATTTCTCTTTACCTACATTTGCGGCAGAAGTGCTATAGCTTTTCTCCGAGTGTATGTGTGTTGTCCTATAAACAAGTCACGCGCTTGTTTGTCTCGTAATTTAATGAGGCATCGATGCGTTCAGCGCATTTGCGTGTCTCAAATTGTTTTCTATTTCATTACTAGCATTAGAATTATAACAAAATATACCTCTATATATATATATACACATAAATCCTATGCAATTACCATTATAATAACGAGCACAAGCAAAACTTTTCAAAACGTGGCAACGCCAACGTCGCATGCACCAACAACAACAACAACAACACTTTTGAGGCGCGCTAATTGCCGCTTAGCAGGCCTCTGCTGCAGAGTCCGACAATGCCAGAAGCCACCCCCCCCCCTTTCCCCTTCTCCCTTCCCGCCTGGCTCTCACAGCTTATCAGCCATTTTGGACCTAGTTTAGCTCGTAAAAATTAATGATGTAAAACGCAATTTTGTTAACGGCAATGGCCACGGCTCGTTTGTGGCTAAGTGAAATGGCAACGGCATAATACATGCACCATGATTACACACACACACACACACACAGCTGTGTGTGTGCCTGATCACATAATTGCCTTAATGCAATGCTGCAAACTGTGCGCGCCAAAAGTAATTTGAATAATTAGCAGCGTTCAACATGGCGTATGAGTTATGTTCGCTTCGCCCAAAGATTACCAAATGTATTTTTCAATAAATTCTGTTTTTCTTTATCAAAAAAAAAAAATAAAACTGTAACCCGTTTTACAACAAAGGCAATGCGCTTGACTCAGAGGCTTTTAAATGCCAACAACAACAACAATTAATAATTAACAACAACAGCAACAACAACAACAATGTTCGACTGAGCTTGAGCAATTGAATGAAGTTTGTTGCCTGTCAATTTGACAATGTGTTTAGCGAAAAAGAAATAAACAGCAGAAGGAAGAGCAGGAAGGGGAGCGTGAACAAAGAAACAACAAGCAAGCACAGTTAACTGTCAGATGCTGAAGATTGAATACCCTTACTTCAAAAAGTTTAGGCATTAATTTCATAAAATTTGCATAGAATGTACATTTTGTTAGTTGCAGAAATCTTTATTATATTTCTTTTTTTAATACTTCTCTTATTTTCAGTTAGTTCAGTAGATCTATTTTCAAAAATGTTTTCAAAAATTATGATTTTATATCAAATTTTTAAAATCTTAAAAAATGTGAGCTGCTGAGCATTAAAACCTTATACTTATACTCACTTATTTATTGCGGAAATGTTTCTATTTACCTTTTTTTTAATCCTTTTATGCGTTACAAATACAATTTTCCGAAAATGTTATGAAAATTATGACTTTATAGCAAATTTTTTAAAATTAAAAATAAAGTTGTTTAAGTTTCAGCAAAACATGTACAAGACTCGCGATACGATTAGTTAAGATTTTTAAACAAATGAATTAGATGTTTATGTCAAAAGCTCTGTCCCCAAATGACAGCTATATAATGTGGTGAACCGACCAACTCCGACGCATATTCGCAATGCCTGCAGCAAAAATATGCATACTTGACACCCTATAAAGAGACAGACAGGCAAATTTGATGAATATAGCTATTTATTCTGATTAAGCACATATAGTACAAAGCGTGACAAAATTATAATACCCACTGCAAGGGTATAAAAAAGCAACTGCGGGCAAAAGGCAAATGCCGCACACAACAACAGATAGAGAGAGTGAGAGAGAGCGGGAGAGAGAGACAGTAAGTGAGAGGCAGGCGAAGAGCCAAGCATGCTGTAAAGCATTTGCAAAAGGCAAATGCCACACAGAACAACAGTTAGATAGCGAGAAAAAGAGCGAGAGAGCTGGAGAGAGAGAGTGAGAGCCATGCATGCCGAAAACTCTGTGATGCAAAAAAATGGCATGTCATTGCGCAGTGTCTGACAATGGGGCCAAACAAATGATGTTGTCTAACGGTTGTCTGCTTCGCCAAGTCCTTGCAAATACCGTGCATCCAGTAAAATTCCGAATGTCGGAATGTCGGTTAAGTTCTTAAGATATTTTTAAATTTAAATATATTTTGGGTACAGATTAACCAATTTTTTATTGTTATAACTTTTCGAGCTCTGATATATATAGGATATTCGAGGGTACAATTTGTACATGAATTTTGACCAAAAATACGGTTGCCAGTTTTTGATGCCAAATTGATTTAGAGGTCAAACCATGAACAAAAAGCCAAACCTTATGAAAATCGGATGAGATTTGACTGAGTTATGGGGCTGGGAAATTTTGACTAATGTCTTTATAAGTAATTTGAGGTTACAATTTTTATACTATAGAAGTAAAAAACTCTTAATTTTGAACAATTTTGTCACTTGTTTCTCAAATCAGTTCAATCAATATATACCATAGATCTTCACTTAATTTATCTGATTTGTGTTTCTTCAAATATTTTTGATCTATTTTACTTACCAACTACTCTACCAGAAACAATTATGATATGTGAATGTTCTTAAGCTTTTCCCCAAGCCAAATTGAATTGAAGTTTGGAATCAAGGGGCAAAAGAAAGATCTCGCATGCTGACCAGCTCAGAACTACAGGGTATCTACTGCCGCTCAAGCTGTCTCCTTTGCAGAATTTGCAGTGCCAGCTACTAGATGTGTGTGTACATAATTTAATTAGCAACTGGCACATAAATCAAGCTGCCGTTAAACCCTTTTTAATTACACGGCCATGCATCAAAAAGCCAAGAATCCGGCGGATTGTTTTGGGTGAGAAACTTGGCTTCGAGTACGAAAACTCGCACGAAATTAATTGCGTGGCATATGGAAAAGTTTTTGCTGTTGCTGCTGAAAGCTGTCTAATTAAAAATTTACACACGCACACCCACACATGCACACACACACACACACACACACAGTGTGTAAGTGTCCAAAAGAAGAAGAAGCAGCGGCAAACTTGAACCGCAAGGCAAATATCAATTTGGCAAAGAGCAAAGTTTTGTTTTGCGCCAGCAAAGAAAATCAAATGAAATTAATTACATTGGCAAAGAGCCTGTTGGCCATTTGGAAATTAACTTTTGGGCCACGTGTCCGCGTGGCCAAAAGGAAATCTTTTGTCTTGGGCGGCAAGTCCCACAGGACGCTAACCGGGCCCAATTAATGGCCCAGCTAAATTGTTATGTCTTGCCAGATAATTGCCAGAGGACCTTTTTACTTTTTTTCCCCTCAACTTTTGTCCTAATTTGTTGACATCGTTTGCGGGCGGATTTTAATTATCGGCCCCAAAGCAAAGCGTTTGAGCAGCTGCTAACAGTGCGACAATTGACTTGCCATTAAATTTGTGGCAACATTCATCTAAGCCACGCCTACCCTTCCACCCCTCTCCACCCCTCCCCGCTTCCACACCTGCCGACACCTTCGTGACGATTTATGCCTTGAGCTTTAATAAACATTTTAGCCTAATGTCTGGCCATTATTTATCGTGTTTAACAACAACAACAACAACATTTTCATCGCTCTGACAAACAGTTAACATTTGTAAAGCGTTTCTTGCATTTTCCATTTTCCGCTGGAAAAACTCTCGTGCGCCTGAAGATAAATTACAATCGTGGCGCTTGTCTCTGCTTCGCACAGCTTAAATTAAGCCCGCACACACTCACACTCACACACACACACTCGCACACATACACGCACTCACACACATTTGTTTTTGGAGTTTTTAATCAATTTTCGTTGAATTTTTCATGCGGTAGCTGTTAAAAATGCTCGCAGATAAAGCATCCAAAATGCCAGAAAGTAAAAGTGAAATACTTCCCATGCTATTATTCACTCGAACAAATGCCAGACAATGGAGTTACATTTCGACTACAATAATTCAATTAATGTGGCTTGCACAATGGGGAGTTTTGAATTATTTTGTTTGCCCAAACCAATAAAAAGTGTTCCACAAAGTTCGTTGAATAAACAAGTCATATTTTTATACCCAGAACCCATTAAAAATTGGTATAAGGGTATATTGTATTTGTGCAAAATCCAAATGTATGTAACAGGCAGAAGGAAGCATCTCCGACCCCATAAAGTATATATATTTTTGATCAGCACCAATAGCCGAATCGATCTAGCCATGTCCGTATATCCGTCCGTCTGTCCGTCCGTCCGTCTGTCCGTCCGTATGTATGAACGCAAGGATCTCAGAACCTATAAGAGCTAGAGACTTGAAATTTTAGATGTAGGTCCTCCGAGATCAAGTTTGTTTCCGATAATCGATAACTTACTCTGTTTCCAAGCAATCGATAAAAATCGATATCTATACCCTGTTTTTTGGGCAATTTAGGATTAGAACCTCTTACTTGTTCTATTAAATATTAACACTTTGTAATTTAAAAGGCTTGTTTTCATATCTGAGAATTTAACTATACTTTTACTCAAAGCTACGAGTTTTATACCAAAAGCGACAAATGAAAGGAAGTGAAAAAAAACGTACATGTAATTTGTAATTATTTTCCTTAATCGATATTTCTAATTCCGTAATCGATATTCATAAGTTACAATTCTTATAACCGATATTGATCTTGAAAGAAAATCGAAAACAACGTTGCAATATGTAAATATTAGCCTGACTTCACATTCTGCGATTCCATTAACGAATGTCAGAAAAATGTGGTTTCTTATGGGAAAACAAACAGGCAACATTTTTCACATTCTAAACAAATGAAAGAAATGTTGATAGTGAATTAGGCTGTATGTTATATATGGAATTGTAAACATAGCAAATATATGGGCTTGGGGGCAAGGGCAATACAAGGAAGAAAAGGAAGAGGTCAATAAGGAAGAAAATGTATACAATATAAATTTACTTTTAAGGGGGAATTGAGAAATTAGGTCTGAGAATGTTCAATTCGTATGCCAGTAAATAATTTTATATTTTCGTATAACCCAGAAACATGCCACAATTCGACTATGAAATTAATGAATTTTTAATCAGTTCGCATTTAAGTTACGAACTCATAGTTTGAATGATGACATTGCTGATGAAAGCCGTAATGATAGCATATTTAACTAAAATACAATAATGGCATGTGTGGGTCGCACACACACACACACACACACACACGCACACGCGCACACTAACGAGCCAAGTATTTAGGTTTGTAATTACGGGCCAAAAACTTTTTGCTAGACATCGTCGTAAGAACTTTATTAGATCATGAAATATTCAATATGGCGCGCGAAGGCAAAAACAACCCCACAGACAGAGATGCAATGTGTTTGTGCATGGGGGTGTGTGTGTGAGTGTGTGGAAGTGTGTGTGTGGGGGTGTGTGTGTGGGGGTGGCCACAATTAGAGCATAAATGCTGCGCAAACGCGAAAGATGAGGGCAAGGGAAACGGAGAAGGAAGTGGAAAATGGGAACTTGGAACTGGAAAATGAGCTGGGAAGAGGAAGAGAATTATAACTGCAGCAGCAAAGGGCAAAGTGCAAAGTGCAAAAGGCCGTGTTGCAATTGCAGCTGAATTATTTATGGCCAAACGTGAGCGAGTTATTGTTGTTGCTGCTCAGCTTAAATCCCATTTAAGCGCAACATTTAAAATGTAATTTTACCAGGCCAGGCCAGAATCGAAATTAATTTTCAATAAACAAAAGCGAAACAATACGGGGTTGTGGGGGGGCGTGACTGTTGGCAATCAGCATATTTGATTTGATTAGTTTTAAATGGTCTTAATAAGCCGCCCACATAATGACTTGATGAGCCTACCCTCACTCCAGCTCTCTCTCTCTCTCTCTCTCTTGCTCTCTCTCTCTCTCGCTCTCTGAGCTAAATTGCTTTTCGATAATGAATATGCACATTAGCCGATGCCAAATTATAGATAAGCCTCATCAAATCGTATTATGCCCTGACTAAAAACTGGTATTGTCTTTTTTTTTTTTATTGGAATAACTCTGCTAAAGAATGTCCCATTTCGGAATGATATAATAATTTTGGACTCGTACGGATTAGTACTACAGATTGACATTCTAAAATTTTGACCAAATTTGAAAAAATAGCAAGGGGTTACATCACGTTTTTTCTCAAAATTGGGATCGGTTCGAAAATCAAAACTTTTTCGTTCATTTTTTTGGAATATCTCGAGTAAAAACTGTCTGATTTTGAAATGTTATACCTTTTTGAATTCGTGGAGATCCCTACTATTGATTAACAATAAATTAAATCAACAATCGAAGGGTAATTTCAAAAATGTTGTCAAAAATCGGTTAGGCTTAGATTTTAAATTAAATCAACAGTCGAAGAATTGTTGGTTTCTTGGAGACACATATCATATCATAACATCGATAAATATACATTTGGAGACATATTTTCTTAACTACTAGAGCTGAAAAAAAAAGAATTTAATCTTAAGTGCAGCCTGGTATATATAGACTTTTCTCTACACCAAATTTAAGCCCTGAACATTTCATAAAGATCGGACTACAAGCACCGAAGTTAATCAAGAACTTGTTCTGCATTATGTTTGTGTTTTTGTGTTAGAAGAAATATGGAATGTGGTTTAAGGCAGCTCGAAGCTGAGTCTCTCCCAGTCGAAACCGACTAAAGTACTCTTGCTTTTTATGCTCTATTAAATTTATAAATTTTTTAATCATGTGCAGCTTTTTAAACTAGTTTCTCTCTCGCTTTTCTCTTCGCCTCTTTACAGACGTCAGACGGCGGAGGAGCGCGAAGCTGAGCGACAGGCGGCCAATCGGCTGATGCTATCCCTGCAGGCGGAGGCCATTAGCAAGGGCTTTGCGCCGCCGGCGGCGCCTCTGAGCTCCCAATCCGGCGTGAATGGAGCCCCGCTGGCCGCGCTGCACGGACTGCAGCCCTGGGCGGAGGCGTCGCATGCAGCGGGCTGCTAATTGTCAAATAGTAGATCATATATATATATATATAAAGTATGTGTATAAGGTTTATTTGTGATACAGTTTGCTTTGTAAATAGAGTTGAGAAAAATGTGTGCGCTACAGTGAAAACACTGCAAGACGAATCAATCAAGCACAAGTTGTATATATCTAGCTTTACTTCCCATACTATAATATAATCTAAAATAATCAACTAGTTACCTAAGTACTCGATTTAGGTTTAAGTAGTGTCCCTTAGTTTGTAGCGCAGTGTTTCCTTCATTTCAATTTAATCTCAAAATGTCAACTATAAAGTATAAATATATATATATATATATATATATATATATATGGTATATAACACACAAAATTTTAAATATATGGCTTGTATTGTACGTTAGTCGTAAGTCGAATGGCATTACATAGTATTATAAAACTAAATAGCTACTGAAAAATATATAAACTAACAAAAAGCAAAGGAAACAAAAGCAAAATGAATACATTACAAAATCAAAGAACACAAACTGAATACCAGATCTGGAAATAAACAAAATTTAAATAAAAAAAAAAAAAAACAAACTGAATATCTAATGCGAAATAAAATACGAGTCCAAAATTGTATTAAATTCCGAAATCCTACATTATTTGGCCGAGATATATCCCAAAATCGGGATCGGTCCGCAAATTAAAACTTTGTTGATGCTTTTTTGTGGAATATCTTGTTTCAATATTGTGTGATATTGAACTGTTATACATTTGTGAATTCCTACGAATCCCAACAATCATTGGCAGAATTTAAAATTCGATAAGTTAAAAAAATTTATTGATCAAAAAACGATTCGTTTGTTAAGTCAACCTTTTTTGAAGATTTTTTTTAAAATTAAAAATTGTCGGAACTAGAACTAGAACAAAAATTGTCGGAACGGGTCATTAAAATGAACTACTGAACTTATTCAGTGATTAGTGAACTAAATCGCTCATTTAGTTCACTCGTTCAGCTATTCAGTCGGTCATGAACGATGTATGCAACTCAGCAGTTCAGCCGTTCATGAACGATACATTCTTTTGAGATGTTCACTTCTTAATAAACATAAAAGGTAGCGGGATTTGAATTTAACTTTTGATTTGACTGCATAACTGAACTAAGCGAATAGTTCATGACCGACTGAATAGCTGAACGAGTGAACTAAATGAGCGATTTAGTTCACGGCCGAAAATGAACGAGTGAACTTATTCAGCGAATTGAACTAGAAATCGCCACTCTAGTCGGAACCATTTTAGACTCGTACGGAAAAGTACTATGAATTAGCATCAACAAAATGAAATTCGAAATGTTGACCCGAATCGACTAAAAAGCAAGAGGTTACATGACGTTTTTTTCTCATAATCGGTGTCGGTTCGAATATCAAAACTTTTTTGATGATTTCTTTTGAATATCACGAGGAAATATTGGATACATTACGAAATCAAAGAACACAAACTGAACAGTTAATGCCAAATAATTGAGTTCTAAGGGTAGTTGGTCTTATATGATTTATAGACAGTTTATAGACAGGTTATTATGGCCGGGCCATATGCTGCGAAGCCGACAACAATTAGGCGCTGCGCAGCCTGAACTTTGGATATACATATATCAATTATATTTAGCGGCCTTTCATTATAAATATATTACGTGTTTTTTATTGGCGCCGAAAGACAAAACAAACAAACAAACAGACGCCGCCTGGCCTGGCCGGACCTGGCCTGATCTGGCAGGTAGCTCTACCTGGGCTTAGGGCTCGCTCCTTAAAGTGTTGGCCGCTGTCACATTAGCGTCGGGGACTTCAACTCCTACAAGTTGGCCTCCGGTGGTCCGGAAGTAAACCATTTTTTTTTCTTTTTGTGTTCTTCAATCGGCAACAAGTTGAAAGACGGCGCCCCACAAAGTTGCAGACGAACTGCGTCCGTTTCAAATGTTCTTTACTTTTATTGAAACTTCAGCAGAGAGACACCTTTTTAATTTTGTTGGCATTTGCCGCTGGTCCTTCTGGAAATTCGCATAAATTGCGTTTAATTGGACAATTTTTGTTATATTCCTTTGTGGCCAACGGCGGCGGCTTGTAATGAGGATGAACTCCGTGTTTGCCGTCCATATTGCATGTGGCCAGCTCTTGGGGCTTGTCTCTAATTGGCTGCCCACTTTGTAGCATTTGTCCGGTTTGATTGATTATTGAGCCAAGCTGCGGACAGGCGCCCGGTCTTGGGGTAAAGCAACAATCTATTTGTGTCCACGTAGTGGAGTGACAGGCGCCACAGTTCTGGGCTGAAAAGTTTGCTCTGCCGAAAATCAGCAAAAAGAAAACTAAATTGAAAGTGACCAGAGGGGGTTGCTGTCGACTGGATATGAAAAATACAAATGAACAGCCATGCGGTTGGTCAACAAGACAAGCCAGGACAGCGACGATGGCGAAGTCGGAGAGGGGGCGGGAATGGAAGCCTCTTGGTCCGTCTGCCATGTCAATTTGGATTACGGCCAGAGATTGAAAGGGATTTAAGGCCAAGCCAAGCCAAGCTAAGCGGGCAGCGTAGCAATTTTCAAATTAGTTTTTCAGCCTTTTTGAAGCCAACAATTTCTGGCTGCAATTTTCATATTAAAATGCACAACAATGAAGCAAAGCAGAGGCAAAGCTTGGGGGAAATGCTGACAATAATGCTCTAGACAAACTTTGACAGACGCTCACAAAAGCAGTCACAATAGCCGTAGCTGTCGCAGTCACAGTAGACGGCGCACAGTGACAGCAAATAATTAGCGGCCATCATGGCGACATTTAAATTAAATATGACTAGCTATTTTGCTATTGTTCGCCCTTCTTCTTGCTGTTGTTGTTGTTGTTGTTCTTGTTATAGTTGGAATAACGGTGGCACGTCTAGCCTCTAATTATACTCGTCGCTGGTTGGCCTGTCAACCTGCCATATGGCAGTCATAAAAAAAATGCCATAAAGGAAACCATTTTGAACAACCCACCTGAAAACAACTAGTCGGCATGCAGTTGAACATATTCGGCTAGCAGCTACCCTTAGCTCGAAGAAGAGCACTTCCATTTTACATATATTTTAAGGCTAATCGATCAGTGGCCTCAATACATCATGATTGATGTGTTTAATCACCTTAATTTCCCATCTTATTCTATTTTAGTCATTTAATGTGATGCATACATCATGACTGATCTCCGCAAGCATTTCTTTTTCGAAATTATACATCATGATTGATATCCGTTAACAGCACTGCTTATTCATTTTGTAGCCTCCAAACCCATCATGTACTTAAGGATTAATACACCAATTTAAATATCTGCAGACACCATCAATACATCATGATTGATATCTGCAAGCACCTTCATTTTCCATATACTTCCTAGCCAGTCACCTAATGTCCTAAATACATTACTGATCTCTGCAAGCAATACAATTTTGCATATCCAATTATGTGTAGTCTATTAATGTGGCAGTTTTGATTAATTTTGTAGTCTGTAGATCTTACATCATGACAGATCGCATGACGTCGAAGTATATGTCATTTATATTATACTAAAATCCATGACGAATATACTCCTATTACTCTATTGTTGGCAAACAGAGGGCCGTCATTAGCCAATGACTATAGGTATATTAAAATTAGTACACCCCAGCACATGTATAAATGAGTTTAAAAATGGAGTAAATGGAGTGGGAAGTGCGCTAAACAGACCCCGATAGCGAGGGAGGCCATTATGCCCGAACGGGACACAGTTACAGTTTTTTTTTCGGGTGCTTGCCCGGATCCGGATCTACCACCAACCGTTGGGATCCGGTGCGACGGCGACAAACAACAGTTCACTTCTAATGACCGCCCAGCGCCGTTCTCCAAATTAATCATTAGGCTTGTCATTAGTTGAATGTGCTTAAACTTTATTGCGTATTTTTTTGTTTGTGTTAGCTTTGTTTTTGTTCGGGCTTCTGTATGGCATATGCTAATAGCTCATGAAGTGTTGTTTGCCGGGTGTGGACAATAAATCGACTGGCTAAATGATTCTGAAAAACTTGCCCAAGCACACGTGCAATTTGCCAGATAAATCCAGCAACAAAATACCCAAGAGCATATCAATTATCTACAACATGCACAAAATTGTTAAATACCTTGTACAAGTTCTTAGCTGTCGCCGTTGCAAATGCCAGTAATTAAATTTGGATTTCATTATTATAATTATTTAATAGAATAAAGCGCATACGACAATAAGACACAAATGAATTCGAGCCAGCGTCCTCTTAGCTGAGTTATCTACTAAGAAATGAGTCTAATAAGTAATAATATTTCTATAATGATATAAATATTTCAAGAGTTATTAGACTTATTCAAATAATAGACACAGATAATTATTGTGATACCATTATTATTATCAAAACAAATTATTAATAATAATAATAATATTATTATTATTATTATTATTATTATTATTATTAATATTAATATTATTATTATTATTATTATTATTATTATTATTATTATTATTATTATTATTATTATTATTATTATTATTATTACAACAAAATTATATTAATTATTATGACATCAAAATAAAGAAGTTCTTCAATCAAAACTGATTGACAAACTATCCAAGGCAATAGAAATAGAAAATAAAAAGAAATAGAGTACAAAAATGAGGATTCCATCAGGATTTTGAGTGAGGTGAAGTAGAAAATTCGTGTTTCACACTTTCCATGCAATTCGACATGAAAATTTAATCAAGTTGTTTTCAATTGAGTGCAAAATCACATCAGCAGCATAAAAAGTTGAAAGCCGGAGAGTGGAAAGTGGAAAGTGTAAAGTACAGGGCCCACTCCCAAGCAACGGACAGACAGACAGACAGACTGAATGTGAATTGAGTGGTCAGCCTTGAGCGGGGGTTGCTTTTGCCCACCCGCCATCCCCCTCCCCAGAAATGTCAACAGCCAGCGGCATTTGGACCCGGGGTCAGAAACACACGTAGCATTACGATTCC